ACCGCATGGGAGGATAACACAGTTAATGGCTGTCCCAAAGTCAGTTTCCCTGCATCCTTGAGCAAAACAGCAATGGCGGCTTCCCCACGCAGACAGGGGGCCATCCTGTAGCTATCGGGCTTTTATGGCCCCAATCTCTGTACCAACATTCCTTTTGCAAAGCCTGAGTTCTCGTCCACGAACAGTTTAAAGGGCTAGGACTTGTAGGGGGGGTCCCTTTGGGTCCTGTCCAGATGCCAGCTGAACCTTTTTTTTTTTGGTGGTCCTTTGATACCTCCTGTTACCTGTGGCCCCCTGGACCAAAGCTGTGCGGTCACTGAGAGAGCTTCCGGTATGGGTCAGGACTGAATGTTGAGCCCCGGTGTCCACTAGGAAGGTCATTGGCTGCCCCCCCATCTTGAGAGTTAGCCTGGGCTGGGGGGGGGGGCGCTCCTGGCCGTGACCTTCTCAATCTTCCAGATTGAGGACCCTTGACTTAGGTCTCCGAGACCCTTGAGGCTTTTTTTTGATCAGTCACGAGCCCAATGTCCTTTTTGTTTACATTAAGTACTTTGTCTTTGTCAAGCAGTGTTTTTTTTTTGATCTCCCATCCTAACTTCCTAACTCCCTCTCTGACCTGTCCCTGAGACATTACAGTGGCCAGGACTTTTTTTGTTTGTTTTTCCTCTCCCTCTGTGTCTCTCTAAGTCTTTTTAAAAACGCGCTGCCGGCGTCTCTTTCTGGTAACCTGAGCCCAATCGGTAGGGGGTCTAGAGCCCCTTGGAGACCAGCTAAGAGCAACTGGCGATAGAGACCTAGGTGTTCCCTACCTTTGCTGGTTTGTCCCGCCTTCCTCCTAGGCGACCGGCAATTGGGGAGGAAGCAGGAAAATCATCCTCCGCTGTTTGGGGGCCGCTGCAGGAGCCGCCGGTCCCTCCGGCGCTGTCGGGGGGGGGGGGCTGAGGGGAAGAGAAACGGCTTAACCCATGGGGGAGGTTCTGTTGTCAGGAGTCTCCACATGGCAATGTATGGGACCTGGTCCGGGTGGCCATGGGGACTGGAAGCAAAAACTTTTCTCTCCACCTGTGAAATAAGACTGAGGTTAAAGGTTCCCTGACGAGG